TGACATGTATGTGTAATACATGTGCCATGCGAGTTCCAGGTATGTTATCCATATGCACGAAAAATGTTAATTGGGGTAGTTTTTCTTACCCCTCACCCCCTTTGCCACCAAAAATTGATTTTTTTAATGGGACAATGTTGAGTTTCACACGTTTTAGAACATACACATTGAAACTTAGAACCAATTTCACTTGAAAACTTACTTTGAAACCGATGTTGTGGAGAATCGAACCCGGATCCTTTGGATTGCAAACCCGGTGTGCTGACCCCTAGACCGCCGTGCCGCACTTGTGTGGTGTGCGCAGATGAACAGTCTTAAGCTACATACGTACACTATATATGGTACATGTATGAAACACACATGTAGTCAGATTTCAATGTATGTTTTCGCCTGTTCTGCCTTCGTCATTGTGCAAAGTATGCCTTACATCTTTTAACGTTATTGACACATTTTCATGATATCATAGACAAAATATGTGCATCCTGTTCTATGCTTCATTAACCTTTTAGCGGTTAAATCACATATTTGACCAACTTATTACCCACAAATCCTAAGTGCTTATAAACACACATGTGCCACTAGTTATATTTCTGTCACACATGGGATTGGTGTGTCGACTCGTATAATGCATATATGTCCATAGCAACGTAACGGGTGTTCCCTACATGAGCCCTATGCCATCTGTGCTGGAAATCCATCGGCGACGCATATATGTAAAGTCAGCCATACATGTGACCAAGAACTATATATGTAACATATGAACGTCCGACACATGTATGTTACCAAAACGTATGGCAAGTGCAGGTGACATATAAGTATCATACGTTTCGTATGGTGAACATGTATGAAACATACCTGGAACTCGCATGTACCACATATGAAGAGGGTTTCACGGGGTCTTTCCCTTTATATCTGCTTGCTTGAGGCGGACGGGTAGTGCACTCCATATGCGTATACGCACACTTCTGTTATTGGCGTTGTCGGTAATGTCGAGCGTTTACCAGAGTAAAATGTATTCATGAGCAAGTACTGTTGTGCGTTACTAATATCCGCTGCTGATTCGACATCCATCCGTATGTTACACACTTTGGTAGTAACAAGTCCAACTAACTGCTGTTGAATGAATTATTTGCAGTCCATGCAATATTTGTCAAGGTCCCGTTCTCATAAATAGGCAGAGAGCAATAAGGCACGAGGCAGGACACACACATGAAACTTTCCAAATATTCGTTATAATTTCGGGCAAGTAGCAGCAGCAGCAGGCCGCGTTGAGGGCGGTGAGGGTGGCAGCAGCAGCAGCGCCTACTCCTTTGTGGCGGCTGTGAGGAGGAGGGACCCTGGTGGTGGAGAGGAGGGCCGCAATCAAGTGAAGGAGAGGGGAAGAGAGGGGGAGGGGAAGGGGCAAAGGGTCAGCTGGACATTCGCGGCGGGTCGGGTGGAGGGAGGGGGGGGGGGTGACCCCTCCACTTCATTATTGCTTTCGGACGCGCGCGCGCGCGCCATTCCGGCAGCATACCGTGTATTGCGTACGGAGGGGTGGGGACGGGGTACAAGAGACACGGGGCTAGAGGCCTTTATCCGCAAGGAGCGGGACAGATAGAGCCTAACAAACCCAAAACACCACCACCACGACCACCACCACCACACCAGAGCGGGGCTGCCCTTCGCCATGCAGCCCTGCTCTGCTGCCAACAACACAAAAAGTTCACCAACAAAAAACAAACAAAAAAAAAAAAAAAAAAAAACACATACGCGAAAAGATTTTTGTGAAAACGTGAAACATTTCCCATGAACTTCCTGCGGACTATGCCACTGGCAGGGTATGTAGTCCCATGCTCTTGCTTCGCTCACGCTGCCTCTGCTCGGCTCTGCTCCTGGCTGATCCCACAGCAGCAGCGCTGC